TACACTTATGTGTGTGTCTGTTCTTCTCATACCCTGTAAACTTTTTTCGATGTATTTTTCAATAATTGTGTTGCCATTGCAGCTATTTTGTAGCTAACTTTAGCTAGTTTTAGAGGTCATGTGGCGGAAAAAGCTAAAAGTCTTAACTAAGTCAGCTTTATATAGCCAAGAAATTTGGTGTTTAAGGCTAGTTTAACTAATTTTAGACAACTCTGATGCCAATGCAGCTATTTTATAGCTTTTTTAAAGCTCCATTTAGCTATTTTTAGAGAGCCGCAAAAAATCAAAAGTAAGCAAGTTTTTGATGTTTAATAAAACTGGGTTTTTTTTAAAGCTATTTAGCTATTTTTAGGTGCGTTAAAGCTATTATAGCCTCTTCATATGCAATTGTGGTGCCATTACAGCTATTTTATAGCTAAATAGAGTTATTTTTAGAGAGCAGCAGAAGGCAAAAGTTAAAAATGAAAGCTAGTTCAGCTATTTATGGCCTAGAAAGTTGTTGTCCAAAGCTATTTTTAGCTAAATATAGCTAGTTTTAGAGAACAGCAGAGGGAAAGAGCTAAAAATCGAAACTAATTCAACCATTTTAGCTATTTTTAACACTGAATTCAGCTTCTTTTTTTTAGAAATTGACAGCACTGAAAATTTTAAATAACCACGTGCTATAATTAAAAAGTGGGCATACTTAAAACTTGTCTATTTATAAATTACATTTACATTTTTTATAGCTTTATTTTCGAAATATCAAAATGCTCAACTCATTAAAAACTATTTTTAAAATGTTGAGAAAATAGTTAGAAATGGAAAAGTCGTCAAAGCCAGGCACTAAATAGGCACAAAAATGGCTGCACAGGGTATTTTCTAGTCTATACACAGGAAAAATGTACAAATTTGTTGTCAGCGCATTGTTGAACTGATTCAATTGGGTATCGAATTGATTATTTATTTTTCGGGCATAACAAGTTTTGTCATTAGGCATGTAACAGTTAATACTCTACACGCGAATTGAACAATAGGCATATTGGTTTTGACTGTCTGTTTGATAATTTGAAATATTCATTTGACAATTCCATTTTAGTCCAAGCAAATTGATTGAATTCATATATCTCTTACAGTTTTAAATGCACACTCGCAAATTTACAGTTTTACATTCATTTATATATCTTTTATATAGATATCTTATATATATATATATATTTCCGAAAATATGTATCTTCTACAGTTTTGAATGCACATTCTTAAAATTACAGTTTTAGATTCATAAGCCAAATGTTTAGCTCATTTTACAACACTGTCACAGAGCATTGTTGCGTCGGTTCGACTGAACGTTCTTCAATTTTTGTAGATTTATGATTTCTCTCACTGATAAGCATTTTATTAATATTATCATCTCTTGTCCATATCCCTTATCTATATCATTTAGATTGGAGATTTATGATATTTCTTCTGACGATTTAGGGCACTGGAAATTATACTTTTATACAATTCCGAAAAACGTAACGGGCGAAAATATTCTCAGCTAAATAAAGAGTGCATAAAAAGTCCAAATGAGTTTTAATTGTTGAATTCGTTGTGGAACACGCTTTCGTGTAAGTCAAGGCGAAAGTGCGCCGAAAGTGTTTTCGGGAACATCCCTACGAAATGCGAATTTCTACTTTTTAATGTACTCCTGATAGAGACGCAACAGCTCGGGACTTGTGCGTGGCTGGACCATTTGAAGGGCAGCCTCAAAGTGCCGCCAGTGCACGGCCTCCGAGTCGAAGCTCTGCTCCAGAGCGCTGAGTGCTGCCTCATGGCAAACGGCCTGTATTTCGGCGCCCGAATAGCCCGCGGTGAGCGTGACCAGCCTGTCCACGTCAACATCCTCGGCCAGGGGCATGGCGCGCAGCTTGATGTGAAGGATTTCGCGGCGTGCCTCCGGCTCGGGCAGGCCCACATAGCAGACGCGATCGATGCGGCCGGGACGCAACAGCGCCTTGTCTATCATGTCCGGGCGATTGGTGGCCGCCACAATGGTCACATTATGCAAGGCCTCCACGCCGTCCAGTTCGGTCAGCAGCTGGGTGAGCACACGCTCCTTGACGGACGAGCCGCTGGTCGAACCGTCGGCGCGTTCGCCGCCAATGGCATCGATTTCGTCGAAGAAGACAATTGCGGGCGCCACTTGACGCGCCTTGCGGAACACCTCGCGCACGGCACGCTCCGATTCGCCCACCCACATGGAGAACAGCTCGGGACCCTTGATGGACAGAAAGTTCAGTTGGCTTTCGGTGGCCAGGGCCTTGGCAATCATTGTCTTGGAGCAGCCGGGCGGGCCGAACATGAGCACGCCGCGCGGCGGCTTGATGCCCAGGCGCTGGAACTTATCCGCATGCAGCAGCGGCCATTCGATGGCCTGCTGCAGCGTCAGCCGCAGTGCCGCCTGGCCGCCAATGTCCGACCAGCGGACATTGGGACTCTCGATGAGCACCTCGCGCATGGCCGAGGGCTTGACCTGTGTGAGCGCCGACTGCAAGTCGCGCAGCTCCAGCGCGCGCGCCTCAGTCTTGAGTGTGGCCAGCGTAGCGGTATACACCAAGTTTGCCAGATCGGCGCCCACATAGCCGTGCGTTATGCTCGCAATCTGCTCCAGCTCCGCGTCCTGGATGTTATGCTGCAGCGGCTGCAGCAGACAGTGCAGAATCTGTTGGCGCGCGGCTGGCGTTGGCGCGCCTAGCTCCAGTTCGCAGTCCAGACGCCCGGCACGCCGTATGCTCGGATGCAGTGCATCGATTTGCGAGCTGGTGGCCAGCAAAAACGTGCGATTCGCCTCTGGCCGGCTGCCACTGCTGAGCTGATCGAGCAGCGAGAGAAATGCCAGCGACACACGCTTGACCAGATCGCTGCCGGCGTCCTGCTTGGGACACAGCGTGTGCACATCCTCCAGCAGCAGCAGCGTCGGATGCGGATAATGCGCATAGGCGCGCTCGAAATAAGCCGCCAGCTTTTGCTCCGTTTCGCCCAGAAACTTGCTGTAGATCTCGCCGCTGCTGATGCGGATGAGCTGCACCTTGCTGTCGCGTGCCTGGGCCGCGGCGCACATGGCCTCGCAGATCAGGGACTTGCCGCAGCCGCTGGCGCCGTACAGCAGCAATCCCCGCGAGACCTTGATGCCTGCAGGGCGTAGATGTTGAGAGGGTTTTGTCTGCTCGTTGTTCAAGTTTTCTGCTTACCCTTGGGCAGGGCCCTGTAGCCCAGCGCATAGTCCATGCTCTCCTCCACCAATTGGATTTCCTTGTCCAATCCGCCAATTTTGGCTTTAGTCAGCTGTTGCTCCGGCTCCGGTTTAGCTTGCTCCTCGCTGAGCAGCAGCTCCAGGCGCGTGGCGCTTGTTATCTGCACAAATTGCTGGGACTTTGCCAAGCTCAGCCGTGCCAGAGCATCCTCCACGGCACACTCCTCGACGCCACGCCAGCTCTCCAAGCGAAAGGTCAAGGGCTTGTTAAAGAAATTCAAGTGCAGCTCGCTGTGCTTGCAGTAGATGTGATTGACTATGTCCTGCTTGAGCACAGCAGCCACATCCGGCAGCTGCTGCTGCTCCAGACCGGACTCACTGCTGTTCAGCTGCCTCAAGGAGACGCTCGCAGCGACGTAGAGCTGACTGCTGTCCAGCGCCGAAATGCGCAACAATTTGCCTCGCAGCGGCGTCCAATTTTGTTTGTAATCTTAAATAGGAAATCGATTAAGGAGTTGTCTTCACTTGGGAACATACAAAGCTACCCTCCGGCGAGGCGAACACTGTCGTGAGAAACTGCTCCGAGACGGGCCAAACCAGGCGCACGAGCGTCCCGGACTCTTGAGCCGCCGGCCTTATGACCACCTGCTGTCCTATGTGCCATTCCGCTAGCTGCATGGCGCCTTCGGATACGAAAATCAGCATGTTGGCATATTTGGGCGGCAGATCCTTCAGTGATTCCACCTCAAAGCTGCGCAGCTGCGCGCTGCTTGTGTAAAGCGCTCCACTGCGCACAAACTCGGCATCCACTGAGCCGCTTTCATCATCGGCAATGGGACACACTCGCTCGTGTGTGTCCCGGGATTTGGATGTTATGTGCACGCCACATTTCTCGCAATGGTACCAAGTGGCTTGGTTCTTTTTGTTGCTCGATTTTGGCGGCATGTCGGCAAACGAAGCACGTTTTGTTTACCTTTTGCAATGCCAATCAGCTGTGTGTGTGTACGTGCATTGTGAATGACAAAAGTTGGCTGCAGATGCACATTTAAACAGAGTGCGCAATATATGATTTTCTATTAGCATTTAAGAAAATGACACAATTGGACTATGGAAATAGAGAAAATAGCTCGTCGTGCCAAGAGTTGCATGTTATATCAAATAAACTTCTTTGTTTTGTGTTTTATGTGGTCAGCCGGCAAACGGAACACATTTTGCTTACCTTTTGCAATGCTGTGTGTGTTGCGTTGTGAATGGCAAAAGATGGCGGGAGATGCACATTTCATACAAGTTCGCAACAGATGCTTTTTCTAGCATATCAAATATGGAGTTGAGTAAATAAAATTATGGCAATGAAGATAAAAGCTCGTTGGCGTATCAGTAGACGGATGTGCTATGTGTTTTGTGTGGTACATAGTTTTTTTTTTGTTTGTCTGTTGCACCGCCCAGTCAACTGTGGGCGAACGCTGGCATTGTGAATGGCAAAAGCTGGTAAGTGCAATTGCTTGCAGAACACAGATCGTGCGTTTTTTAAGGTATACCAATAAAAAAACTGCAAAAATGGAAACTGCGACAGTGGCTTGTGTGTGCTCCGTGATTTAGAGATTACAAGCGGCAACTTAGTTTAGGTTTGGCAACACGGCGGCAATCAAAGCATTTTTGTTTACCTTCGGCATATGCAGTTGTGCACTTGTGAGTATTCCCTGTGAATGGCTATTTTAGAAAAGTACGCGGTAATTGACTTTTAAAGTATCGATACTTAAGAGAATTTGTTATCTCATCTCAAGTTTAATTATCTAATAAGTATATATTTCATTGTAAGTATAGGATAACATATATACACACACATAACGCATAAGCAAAAGGTCTTTTACAATGTTTGCATAGTCTATTTAACAGCACTTGGCTTGAACAGCATACTAGCCTTAGCCGTTAAGCGCAGCTTTCAAAGTGAATTGCGTTTTTCAACACTTCTTATATTTGCACATAAATAGTAATAAAAGTTTATTGCAGCAGCAAATCAGTTTCGCTAGCATTCGCCGACATCAGGTCCCGCTCGAGGCTCGTGGTGGCATTTGCCTGGTTCAGGAACAAATCGAAATCGTAGCCATCGTTCTGCGCGGATATAGAATCCTTTTGATTGCTAATCGTATGCGGATTGGACAGCAAATCCACATCTTGCAGGCCCAGCTCCTTAAGCAGCGTCTCATTCTCGCTGGCATTGGACTCGGCAGCGGCTGGACAACTGGACGGTGGCACATTGACAATGGGCGCCGGCTGCTCCACGGCCTCCCGGCCATAGATGACTTTGTGGCTGCGACGTTGCGCATTGGCTTCGAGCTCGTCCTCGTCCAGCTCCTGGGGCTTGAGTGTGCTGGATTTGTACTGAAAATCGGTTTCCTTGAAGTCCACCTCAATGGGGAACAGCGGCGGCAGCGTGTCCAGACGCTCCACCAGACTCTTGTGCAGCTCCGCGAGACTCTCGAGCAGGCTGCGCAGCTGTTTGTTCAGATCCATGGCATGCTTGCATTCCAGCAGCTCCATCTTCTCGAGCACATCGGTGCGCAGCTTGGCAAACTTGCTGCGCGCATCCTGGCGACAGCGCAGGATCAGACGGTACTCATAGTTGCCCGTCTCCACACGATAGAGCGGCTCCTGCAGCGCCGCAAAGCCATGCTCCTCATCATCCATCTCCTTCACCTTCAGACAGTAGGAGAGATACGTGAACTTGGCGTCCGCATAGCGTCGCACCGTCAGCTTGGTGTCTGGGATGGCCTTGTTCAGATATGTGCCCAGATCGGCCAGCACGGGCTTGATCTGCTTGATGATGGCCAGGCCATCCTTCTCCAGCGATCGATGGAATTCGCCAAAGGTGCGGAATGCCTCGGAGGCGCGCTGCTGCGGCTCATGCGCCGAGATCTGTGTGAAGCAATCGCCAAAGGATTTGTATGTCTGCAGCAGATCGTAGTAGGCCTTCAACATGCGACGCGCGTGCTCCACCAGGCCCTTGTACATCAGTTCTGTGCCCTCTAGCTCCTCGAGTCGCTTCACCAGCGAATCGTTGCAGAGTATGGCACGCGATAGACCCAATGTATCCGCCGTATTGCTGGACAAATTGTCAACAATGCGATGTTTCAGCTTCTTGAGGATTATGTCGAGGCTTTTGCCCTGCTCCGGATCCGCGTGCAGCTTGTTAAAGTGCACGATGACCTCCTCGGTGGCCGTTTGTATCATCTTGGCCACCTCCACCTTGGTCTTGCCCTTCACGCTCACCGAATTGACGGCCAGCAGCTCGTCACCCGACTGCAGCGAACCCTCCCGAGCGGCCGGCGTGCCATCGAATACCTGGAAAAAGCAGGGCACGGATTGGATATATTCTATGGAAGCCATGTCTGAGATGCCTGGAGCCGGAGCTGCTGTTAAGTAAAATCTAGGATCTATCAAAGTAGCTTCAAAATTCAGTTGAACAAATTTTATAATTTCGGTTTTCCATTTCAGGACATATTTTCGAAAATTGGCCAAGCACCATGACGCTCTCGCATTGGTACAGAGAATACGGAGAGAGTGCGCCGAAGCCGGCTGCCAAAGCGAAGATCATGTCGCGCGCCAGTCAATTGGATCAACGACTGAAATCCATTTTATTGGAGCGCTGCGCGCGTAGCAACAAGCTGCTGCGGCAGCAGGCGGGCCTGGACAGCGCCAGATCCAAGGCGAGCAAGTGCCGCAGGGCGTCTGTGGTGCCAGAGGTCTGTAAATTTCAGCAGGAGTATGATCGGAATCGCGCCGAAAGGGCGCGCAGCGCGATTCGGGCGCAACAACAGCTGCGCCAGTTTCACAGTCTGCCGGTGCCGAATTTCAGCGCCCATCACAAGCGCTGGGAGTTGCGCAACAAGACGCGCCAGCTGAATGCGCTGCAGAAGATTACCGAGCCGCAAACGCCGCGCACACTAATCAACTCGATGAAGGCGAGCAAACGCTGGGAGGCCGAAATGTTGTCCATACAGGAGTCCAACATGAAGGAGATCACGCTGCGGCCGAATTTGTTGACAAAATCGAGCGATTCTTGGCGCAAGCCGCCATATGTGCCAAGCATCTGGTCCAGCATTGTCAAGACGAAGCCATTCAAGCTGCAGTCCCAGAAACGGGGTGAGCAACGCAAGGAGTTCGACAAGTGGAACCAGCGCAAACAGGAGGCACGCTGCCAGGCGAACTTGGTGGCGGCATCGCGTCGTTGGCAGCAGGAATACCAGCAGGCGCGCCAGCTGACCAACTTCAAGGCCAGACCGAATCCCTGGAAGCGCACCAAAGCCAAATTGTAATCAATAACAAATATACTCGCAAAACAGTTCAAACTTTCAAACAAGGCCTCGCTTTTAGATGCGTTTTCTCAAGGTTTTTTTTTTTCATTCGGATTGTTGTTTTGTCTTAACTTTAGTTTATTAATTATTTTGTTAATTTTATATGTGAAATCAAAAGTGTTTCTTTTTGAAAACTAGCTGCAAATGTTGTAATTCCCAACAAGTTTAAGCTATGTCAAGAGAAGAATCGAAAGCAAAGTCTGTTCAGGAGGGAAACGCAAGGCTCTTGATTATTCCTTGCTTAATTCTTAAAAATATTAGTTTAATGTGGCAACAGCTTATATAAATCTTAAATGTATTACTTAAACTGAAAACTTTTGTTCTAGGGCTCAGCTATTTTTATAGGCTTCATAAGGCCTTGGTTTATGTTAAAATCAGGCTTCAAATTGCGCCTTCAAAGCATTTTTGGATCTCTTTCTTTATCCTATAAACATTCGCTCACCTGGACTATGTAGAGACAGGGACACATTGGGGCTCCGCCGCCGATGCTGATGCCAATTAGATTGCTCTGATCCTTGGTTATCACCACGGAGCTGGTCGTCACGGTCATGCCCCTGTAAATGGATCAATTGCATTAGCTTTAAATCGGATTTAGTCTAGAACAAAGTTTTAAAGCTTTTGGATAGTTAATTGAAGCGTGCCATACTCACATTAATGGGTGCAATTTTCTAGGTATTCAATCTAGCTAACTTATCTTTAGAAAAACCTATTGTAACTCTACTTGTACATGATCTTTACTTCGGATAATGATAAACCATAAGATAAATAATTTGTAGCTTTACAATCTTAAGGCCACTTTCTGTTTCCTCCGATATATTCGCAACTAAAACTGTAAATGTATATATCACTAGGTTTATAACATATTTTTGATGTGACTTGGGGGTAATACTAGTTCTACGTAGGTCAAAATGAAATATCATTTATAGCTATATCCCTAAGAGGGAGTACCATAAACTAGGTTAGGTCCGATCTCAACTAGAAACTATTTGAAAAAAAACTTAGCATAGAATCTGCTTTGTGCTGGATCGAAGCACTATAACATATAGCTTTAATAGAACAATCGTTAATAAATTATATTATATGAAAAACTTAATATTATTTCAAATGATCTTAACCAAAACTGAGATTTTGTAGCCTTCTAAGATCGCACTGCCATGTCTTATAGCTGCTAAAAAGTCGAAAATAATATCATATAGTTACTATATATAAGCCCTAGAGCCTAGGGCATTGCTTCAACATTACAATAGGGCATTATCTCTTAAAGGCGGGACGTTCTTTTGGTTTATACAATAAAAACTTAACAACTTAAGGCATTACGATAATCTATTGGGCGAATTTCCGCACAAAAACTAGGTGTACAATAATATTGTTGCTCAGTCTCCGTCTATTTGGGTAGCTTTTGGAGACACTACATGAAATGACATGGATTATAACTTAGCTAATTGAGTCAAGAAATTGACTTACAAGCGATCTAACTCATATTTCTGTTTATAATACAGTCCAAAGTTCTCGGGCGCCAAGTCGAGGCCAGTGCAGAGCACCGCAATTTCCGTATCTGATGTTTTCAAATCCTCCGTTTTGGGTTTTTCACTTTTTTGGGTATTGGAAATTTGTGACGTAGATAAAAGTACTCAGTTTTTTTTTCTCGAAGAAGAAGAAGAAGAAGTACCCCGATACTTACGCCTCAAAGTCGGCCATGGAATCCGCATTAAATTGTATGAGCACTGGCGGTGCCTGTTCGCCTGCTCGTTGTCTGACCAAATTTGAATTTAAGTATTTAATATTGGGTCATAAACAAAATCAAAACAATATGTTGACCCAATTATTGATTTGTGACAAGCCGCTGGGCAAAGGCTTTCGCATGGGTAAAGCCCGCCATGCGTTTTATGAAAATGCAATTGTACACTGTGTTTACGTATTTCCTACTCACATTTTGTCCTCGTAGAAGAAGTCATCGTCGTCTGTCAGCATTTTGGCAGCTTTGTTAATTTTTTGTTTTGAACCAAATCAGTTTGTGAAGCTTCCTCCGCAAGCGTGACGTGAAGTTGGCTGCGGCACAAAAATAGCTGCTATCGAATAGTATCGATTTTATGTTGTACGACACTTTACAACACTGCAACGACAACTTGTTGCCCAGGCAACGCTAGAAATATAAACAATTATTTTTATAATGATGGATTGGGCTGAGGAGCTGAAAATGACCATAAGAAAGGTAAAATCAAGTTACTAATATAAAAAACAGGGCTTAATATAGGCACATTTATAGACGACGGCGCGCAAGGGCCGCCGCTCCAAGAGTCGCGATGTGCTCAACGAGGCTGGAGGCTCCTCGAGTGCCGCGTCTACACAGAAGCTGAACAAGGATATATCTATTGATATAACGCTGGATATACACAATGAGAGCAGCAGTCCCACGACCACGCCGACAACATATAATAATGAATTCGATTCGAATCGGCCGCCCATAAGACGCGTCTCGGGCGGTTGGGCGGACACGGGCTTAAAGGGCCTCAAGTCAGTTATATGCGTTAACTGTTTCCATTTTGTTATTAATGAACATTTCAAATTCACAGATCGAAGAAGAATTCGTTTGATGAGTAAGCACAAGCACTTCAATAAACAACATAAATAACGTAACTCAATTATTTAGCGAGCGTTTTCAGGTAACAAAATCGGCGACAAGCACAATACCCACAGATGATATACCCATTATACCGGACTTGGATGATGTCAGGGACGATTTTATGCTGAACGAAATAGCCGATCCTCCGCCGTAAGTGCCTCGTGTTTATAATTTGAAAAGATAAATGAATACTCTTGTAATTTTGCAGCGTCCGTTACAGCCATGAAGTTGCCCTCAAGGAGTTGAGCTCTGATCTGCTCTCGCAGAATGCGTTCTCGGCTATTGAGGACGTCGACTTGTCCATGTTGACGCGTTGCTTGCACGATCAAGAAAGTCTGGATGAGCCGGACGAGCTTTGGGAATGGGATAGACTCTTCACGGAGGTCACGGCTCAAATAAATTCGGATAAGACACTAAAGGCTGGTGTGCCGGAAAAGCTGGAAATCGGGCCTGATGTGCTACCGCCAACGGTTAAATATGATTAGGCATACATTTGTAATCAGAAAATTAAAAATAAATGCAATATTTAGGCTAAAATTCAAATTGCCATTCACCGGAAATGCTGCTAAATAATACCAAAAACATTGTTTGGGCAATCGAAAACAATCGATAGTACTATCAGAGTTTCTCCCGTCACTAGACGTCACGGGGCAGCGAAAAACATAGTTTTAGACACTTTTTAATCTGTGTGAATCGCGTTGAAAATTGTGCTTAAAAATTACCAATTGTTAAAAACCGCTTAACTAAGACAACAATGGCGCCGAAAGCAAGAACAGTTGGCATCAAACCAAAAGCACAGACCTTCAAAGACAAGTCGAAGCCAACCGATGTGCGGCTGTCCAATATACAGGCGGCAAAGGGTAAGAAAATGTACAATTTTTGCAGAAATATGCGTAGCTATCACATTAACTGTGTGCAGCTGGCTCATTTATGTTGCAAACAACAAATTGCGCTGCACATTAGTTATTATTAAGACGAATAGCTGTGCCAAAATGCATTAAACAAAAGCAGTTGCCGGCTGCGCCGCCATCTCGAAGCTTCTTAGTGATGACACTTTGCCGCAAATATGACTCATGTGCGAGCTGGAGAATTTGTATTAATTTTTGTGTTTTGTAGCTGTTTCCGATGCGATTCGCACCAGTTTGGGCCCGCGCGGCATGGACAAGATGATCCAGGCGGGCAATGGGGAGGTGTCCATCACAAACGATGGCGCCACCATTTTGAAGCAGATGAACGTCTTGCATCCGGCTGCCAAGATGTTGGTCGAGCTGTCCCGTGCCCAGGATGTGGAGGCCGGCGATGGCACCACATCTGTGGTGGTTATTGCGGGCGCTTTGCTTGAGGCCTGCGAGAAGCTGCTGCAGAAGGGACTGCATCCGACTGCCATTTCGGACTCGTTCCAGCGCTGCTCGAACAAGGCGGTCGAGATACTCACCCAAATGTCCACGCCCATTGAGCTCAATGATCGCGATACTCTGATCAAGAGCGCCTCGACATCACTCAACTCCAAGGTGGTCTCGCAGCAGAGCAGCCTGCTGGCTCCGATTGCTGTCGATGCGGTGCTAAAGGTCACCGAGCCCGGCAAGGAGACGTCTGTGGATCTGAAGAACATCAAGGTCATTCAGAGCCTGGGCGGCACCGTTGAGGATACGGAACTGGTGCAGGGTCTGGTCTTTACCAGCCGCTCGGCGGGCACCAATGCGCCCAAGCGCATCGAGAAGGCCAAAATTGGCCTGATTCAGTTCTGCATTTCGGCACCGAAAACCGATATGGATCACAATGTGATTGTCAGCGATTATGCGGCCATGGATCGTGTGCTCAAGGAGGAACGTTCCTATATTCTCAATATTGTCAAACAGATCAAGAAGGCCGGCTGCAATGTCCTGCTCGTCCAGAAGTCCATATTGCGGTGAGTTAATCTGTGCCTAATATGAATTTCGTTATAACAAAAAAGATTACTGCAGCGATGCCGTTTCGGATCTGGCTCAGCATTTCCTGGACAAGATCAAGTGTCTGGTTGTCAAGGATGTGGAGCGTGAGGATATTGAGTTCGTATGCAAGTCTCTGCACTGCCGTCCCATCGCCTCGCTGGATCATTTCACAGCCGAGAACCTGTCCAGCGCCGATCTCGTCGAGGAGGTGGCCAGCGGCACCAACAAGTTTGTCAAAATCACGGGCATACAGAATCAGGGACGCACCGTTTCCATCATTTGCCGTGGCTCCAACAAGCTGGTGCTCGAGGAGGCAGCCCGTTCGTTGCACGATGCGCTCTGCGTGGTGCGTTGTCTCGTGAAGAAGCGCGCCCAGATTGTGGGCGGCGGTGCGCCAGAAATCGAGATGGCACTGCAGCTGGCCGCCTTGGCTCAAACCGTGGAGGGTGTGGATGCCTATTGTTATCGCGCCTTTGCCGATGCCCTGGAGGTAATTCCATCGACACTGGCCGAGAATGCGGGCCTCAATCCGATTGCCACCGTCACGGAGCTGCGCAATCGTCATGCCCAGGGCGAGAAGACGGCGGGCATTAATGTGCGCAAGGGCGCCATTACCGATATATTGGCGGAGAACGTTGTCCAGCCGCTGCTGGTCAGCACATCGGCCATCACACTGGCCACCGAGACCATACGCTCCATACTGAAGATCGATGATATTGTGAGTAGCCCGAATTGTACTCTTATTCTTTTTATTAATCTATGTTTTCTCTTCTAGATCAATACCATGAGCTAAACATGTTCGCCTACTGTGCTGCAAGATCTTATTTGCATTTTCATAAGCCACATAAAAAAACCCTTAACACACACACACTCGCACACACTCATAACGTATTGCGGCTGCTTTGTGCCGCATCTAATTGAATTAAATTCACCTTATAATACAACACACAAGGTAATAACTATTTAACGTTTAATAAAAAATTATGTATTTCGCTTTGTATTAACAAGCAACTGAATATTGTGCAGCATATGTTTTTATTTGCATTTTCTTAGCCGAGCTGTGCGCCATTTTGAAATTGGCGCGCATTTGAAAATTTGCCAGTCACAGGCGTGCGCGCGCGCATTTTGGCTTTGGCGTTGCCACCTTTGGCGAAATTGTGGCAAACCGTTTGCATTTGGCGGCAAATTCAAATTTCGCCTGCGCTGCTTTCAAATATATCATTTTCTTGTTACTAAAAAGCATGAATAAATAAAGGTATTTCAATTATGCAAGGCATTTTATTTACGTGCCTACTTAACATTGCAAAATTGCAATATATGATATCGGTTTTATGTTATGCTCTTTGCAAGAGTGGAAAATGGGCGGAACAAAGTAAGGTGGAATTGTTTAGCTACTTCTGACGATTCACAAAATCGAAACTAATTGAGGAAGTTGAGGTTTTTTAATGTTTCTTCCAAGTTGCATAGCCAAAAGTTCAATTTTCATTCATATGACTTTTTGGCAAGGAAAGGAAAGGAGAAGTATTTTGGCCGCGCAACGCCGCTTTATTTGCGAACATGATTGTTATTAGATCTTCGACTTTTCGTTCACTTTCTCGCCAATATTTTTATCATCTTCGGCTCATCTGTGGGCTGTGTGCACGCCCCCTTTTTCGGGCACTGCTAAAATTTCAAAGGATTTGCCAACCTTTTGGATCGCCCCTCCCCCCTCCCCCTCCCATTACCCGCCCGCATAAGTATTTGTCGCCCCTTTTTGGGCTGGAATTCCTTTTGTTGATGCGCGTAAATAAAAAAAAGTCACTTGATGCGATTTTTATGATGTGCGTTAAATGATTAAACCACTTGAAATGGTTTCAAATTGTCAAGAAACAAAAAGGAGGCAGAAAAACTGAATCCGAACCGAGCCACATTTTTCGTTCGTTTACTTTACGCGGGGCGGGGGGGATTCCCCGGAAGTTTTCGGGCGCGTGTTAGTTAATTAAATGTGTAAACATGTCCAAAAAGAAAAGCCTGAACCTTCGGCCTGGTGTTGATTTCAGTTTCAATTCACGCACCCCCCCCCCCCCCCCCCCCTTCCAAAAAAAGGATGTCCCAAAAGGGGGTGGATCAGGCGGGAGTTCCTGTTGCTTTGATTTTTGAGCCCATCAACATTTCCAGCTAATTGGCTGGGCAGTTGCGTCACAGCGAGGGGTTGGATACCTTCAAGGGGGTTGCATGCAAATTTTCACATTTTCCAGCCATCTTTTAAAATCAACCATTTTTGAATGGGCTTTACGTATTTTGTGGCATACTTTTGGGCGAACTTTGAGGGTTGCTGGGAATGAGAGGAGAGAGAAGTCGAGATTTTAGCGAAATTTCCTTTATATACCCTTTAGAGATGTGCCAAAATGGGCTATGATGGTTTCACAGAAGTCTGAAACTCATAGGGTATATATATATATAAACAGATCTCGCTATAAAAGTCAAATTTCGTATATACCATGCACAGATACAGGTCGGAGCTCAGATCCAATTTCTTCAGCAGCCTCTTCGCCCATAAGCTGTTATTTCCCTTTCCTGGCTGACCACATCACAGAGAGACACCTCCAAGGATTCCTATGAGGCGAATCATCTAATATCCCTACAGTAGTAGGCCATGTCCCCAATCCTCAGTTCTCAATTCCTTTCATTTTAAAGATTTCCCATTATAAATATCCCCTACATTGTAACTATTCCCCATTTGTAAATATCCCTCCATTGTAAATGTTCCCCATTATAAATATCCCTCATTGTAAATATCCCTCCACTTAAAACTATTCCCCATTATATATATCACTTTCAATGTAACTATTTTCTGTTTGTAAATATCCCACCATTGTAAATGTTCCCCATTATAAATATCCCTCATTGTAAATATCCCTCCACTTAAAACTATTCCCCATTATAGATATCCCTTTCAATCTAACTATTCCCCATTGTAAAATATCCCTCCATTGTAACTATTCCTCATTGTAAATATCCCTCATTGTAAATATCCCTCCACTTAAAACTATTCCCCATTATAGATATCCCTTTCAATCTAACTATTCCCCATTGTAAAAATATCCCCCCATTGTAAATATCCCTCTACTTAAAACTATTCCCCATTATAAATATCCCCTTCATTTTGTCTATTCCCCATTGTAAAAATATCCCTCCATTGTAAATATTCCCCATTATAAATATCCCTCATTGTAAATATCCCTCCACTTAAAACTATTCCCCATTATAGATATCCCCTTCATTGTAACTATTCCCCATTCTAAAAATATCCCTCCATTGTTAATGTTGCCCATTATAAATATCCCTCGTTGTAAATATCCCTCCATTAAAAACTATTCCCCATTATAAATATCCCCTACATTGTAACTATTCCCCATTTGTAAATATCCCACCATTGTAAATATCCCCTTTATTGTAAATATCCCATTTGTAAATATCCCACCATTGTAAATATATAAATCCTAACTTTACCCTAACTTTTACTTTTTCCGATAATCGATAACTTGTCCCGTTTCCAAGCAATCGATTAAAGTCAATATCGATCTTCTTAGCAAGGGCCTTAGCAAGAATTCCGAGTAGTACGAGGGAAATGTGTGTGTGTGTGTGTGTGTGTTGTAGAAGGATGTTCGATGCGCGCAGAAAGTTCAATTGACAGCTCGAAGCTGGCTACAGGGTATCTGCTAGTCGTGCGGACTCTTGCTTTTGTTTTGCCTATAGCCCACAGCGTTGAGCACTTTGCCACATTTCGTTCGGCTTGTTTGCACTGACCTCATCAGGCAAGAGGGGGGCGTGGCGGGGCGGGGCGGGCTCCTCGTCTAGGGACGCGCGCAAATATTGAATTTGCGATTTTTTTCGGTGTCCAGCTTCTAGTTATATTTGTTTGCAGCGCTCACACTTTAGAGTTTTTTTTTTTTTTTTTTATCAATTTTTCATGTGCTTCCACTTATTTTCGCTTTGTTTCTTTGTCGCTTCTCGCATTTGTTTGCTTAATTTTTTGCCGCTTGAAGAACAAAAAAAAAAAAAAATTAGGCAAAAAAAAAAAGAAGAAGAAAAAAAAGCAAGACAAAACTGTGCTTTTGTCGCTCATTTCATATTTTCATTGTAATTCAATTGTGTTAGCAGCTTTTTCTCAGTCTTATACCCTGTAAACGGCTAAATGGGGTAGATTAGTTTGTAGAGAGAGCGCAAATTTGCCTTTCAGTGGATTTATTCCAGTCAAGAGCTGAGAGGGACTTGTTACTTTTATTCAAATCAAGTTATCGATAACTCGTCCCGTACTCGATAAATCGATAACAAATTGTTATCGACTTTTGCGTTTTTTGTTTAAATCTCAGAAATTATCGGAGTTACAGTTAAACAAATTTGTTATGTGGAACATTTTATAGTTTATACGAATTTAGAATATTTCACTTTTGGGAAATTTGAAAAAAAATACGCAATATTCATGGTACAATCTTGGGCTTTGGAATTTACACACATTTTGATGACCAGTTCATAATCTGAGAATTTCAAGCAGATCCCATGCCAAACAGCCGAGTTAAGCAAGGAAGTTTTTAGTCAAACTTTGTGTTGAGAAAGGGAAGAAAAAGAGGATGGCAGATGCGCGTGCGCTGCTCTGTATGTGTAGGGTATCTTCTAGTTGTGCACTCTTGTTTTTCTTTCTTTTTTTTTTTTTTTGCCCAAATGTTTGTCTTCACTTGACAACAAAGGCAGCTCGTCACAGACTTACATATCTATTTGAGACATGGCATAAAAGGGGTGTGTCCCGCCCCCCTCCACCCCCTCTCACACACACACGCACACATTTGCGCATTGAAATTCAAAGCATCAAATTGAAATGCAATCATCCAGAAACTGAACATATGCTTTCCATATAATTTTCGAGCACTTTCCCAGTTGACAAAGACATCTTCTGCTTCTACTTCTTCTACTCTTGGCCATCCTTACAAATTAGAATCAATCGCTTCAGTGGTTAATTTGCTCTCAAGATTGTTAAATTTCCCAGTTTCATGCCAAATTTTCGTACGCATTTCTTTGTCTTCAAGCTTTTGTCCAAAGCTGAACCGATTTGTTAGATTTTGGCCATGATTTGACCTCAAGATAAGTTTTGCATTTGAAATTGAGGCATTTTTGACAAAAATTTCCCTATTTAGTGAAAAATTTCCCTATTTGAAAAACCTGTTTTTTATTATTCTAAAATTTCATCGCTTTTGGGTCTGTAAATTAGTAAAAAACTTTGTCTAAAACAAAATTTTGATGCTTAATTTTTCTGTTAAAAATATTGAAAGAAATTCCCTACATTTTGATATGCAAATTTCCCCAGTCCATAGCAAATACCCTGCCGCCCGCCAAGTCTTAAAAGTTTTGCTTCATTTTTCTATCAAAAAAAAGGAAAAAATTCTCTTGCACATTTCCGACCGAAAAGTCTTAACAGTTTTTCTATCAAGAAACGCGTGAAAAGTGCCAAAAATGTTGACATGCGAATTTCCCAAGTCCCTAGAAAATTTCCCTTCTTCTATCCAGACTTTAAATATCCTTAACTTTGTCAAAACTCAACCGATTTTTATCATAAATTTTGCACTTATATTTTATAAAATGGGGAAAAAAAATGTACCCAAAAATATCCCTTTATTAATTTTGTGACCAATATTCTAGGCATACCAATATTCTTTATTCTAAAAATTTAGAAACTTAAAATTGAAATTTTAATAAATTATCTATAAAATTAATATAAAAAAAAAATCTTAAAAAAAAATTTTTAATAGACATTTTTCAGTCAGAAATTATGTCTACAATTTTTAC